GACGGATGTAACTGTCCTTTGTGGAAACTACTGACCATAATAATTCCAGTAGTTAATCTTCTACATGTTCAATTATAAGCCACTTTTGGAAGTTTCAAATTCCGGAGATTTGTTGGTGTTTGGGCGTTTGTATCAGAGACCTACCAAAATTCGATGGTTTGTTCAAAAAAAATTTGAAAATTTGTGATTCTGACAAAGAAGAAGAATTTTCTGTATCTTATGAAGTTTGCACGTTCTATCCGCTACTTGGACGTCTTCAGGGGGGAGGGGATATGAAATTTAGAAATATGCAAAACTCGATCTTGAAAAAAAGCATGTGTTTCAGATTTTGGTGATTGTCTAAGATCTCTTTCATTGTAATGCAGTAAAAGCTTGATGTATGATAGAGAATGAAAAGTTGCATCGAATGATACCAAGATCTTCTATGAATGTTTACTCTGCGAAAGCAAGCAAGTTTTGCAACTTTTCCCATAGCATTTTCCTCTATTCTATGTAACACTCTCATTCTTGGCACCTTGTAAGTGATGTAAGCTACAAGTGTTCGCAAACCGTTTGATTTTTGATAACGTAGTGAAAAAATTTAAGGTTTTTTGAACCCTTGAATTTCGAGGTTTCACCGTTTTTTGGCAAACATGAAGCCGTACAAAACCTGAATCAAACGATCATAAAGAAATTTCAGGCAGCATGTAGCTGGATGTTGACACATCCGAATCAGTAAAAAAGAGTGAAATTTATAGACAAATCAAGATAAGGCGCCTTCGAGAAATAAAACAAGTCAAATGCGTCAAATTTGGAGGGCAATCTCTCAATAACTAAGCTGCGAAACTTCAGAATCTGCTAAAACTTTGCACAATAGGGTAATCTAATACGTGAATGCGACTAACACATTCATTTGTCGCTAAGATAAATTTCATTCCTTGAACTTACGAAAGAGGCTTTTCCATGCAAAACGGGTCTCATTGCAATCAGCATGTCTAGTAACCCCCCCCCAGGCCAATTTTCAGCATAATCTGACGCAATCTAAAATTTTTCTCATTATACCGTAAAGCTACCATAACAACCCTTACATAAGATGGAAAAATTCGGCAAAAATGTCTGCATTTGCAGTTCACGTCATAATCCTTATATTGCCAGAATGTATGCGCTACGTTTGAAAGGACAGAAGTTACATAAAAAGTTGCATTACTTATGTGCCAACCTAATTTAGTTTGTTTTGTAAACCTTGCTTTTTTACGACCTTGAGATGTTGCACTTACAGAAGAGATGATGTTCCAGCTTGAAGGCACTCTGAATGCCATAACAAGCTTTATTCGAAGGTTGTGGGGCCTGGTCATGTTTGATATCACTTCAGATAAATGCATATCTGCAAACAGTAGATATTAGGTTGTCCGGAAATTAATGCCCGTTTTGAATTCCAACCGCAATAAGTCATAGACTTCTCACTTCTAAATAGGTTGCAAAGTACCGTTCGATAGAGCAAAGCAAGCTCTACAAGATGGCCTTCTTGATTTTGCAACAGCTCTAATCAACCTTGAGTTTCGAGCCAAAAACTAAAAAGACTCAGCAGCCCAAAAAATCGAAAAAAAATCGTAACTCAGTTCATAAAAATCCTACAAAAATTCTTACTTGCTCATGTAAGCACTAACCACATAAAACATCTATATACGACTTTGCCGCATTTTCTTCTCTGTTAGAAACCGAGAAAACGGAAATTTTCGTGTATTTGCCAAAGTGATGCTGAGCCATCCCCACATAGGTAGTTGTACACCACAAGCCCGTAGAGGTATATACTCAAATTTTCAGCTCTCTACAAGCTTTTGTTCTCGAGAAATACCGAATTAAGCTCTCCCTAGTTAGGTGGTCCAAGCTAAAATTCAAATTTCTCGAAAACTAAAGCTTGTAGAGAGCTGAAAATTTGAGTATGTACCTCTACGGGCTTGTGGTGTACAACTACCTATGTGGGGATGGCTCAGCATCACTTTGGCAAATGCACGAAAATTTCCGTTTTCTCGGTTTCTAACAGAGAAGAAAATGCGGCAAAGGCTTATATAGATGTTTTATGTGGATAGTGTTTACGTGAGCAAGTAAGAATGTTTGTAGGATTTTTATGAACTGAGTTACGATTTTTTCGATTTTTCGGGCTGCTGAGTCTTTTTAGTTTTTGGCTCGAAACTCAAGGTTGATTAGAGCTGTTGCAAAATCAAGAAGGCCATCTTGTAGAGCTTGCTTTGCTCTATCGAACGGTACTTTGCAACCTATTTAGAAATGAGAAGTGTATGACTTATTGCGGTTGGAATTCAAAACGGGCATTAATTTCCGGACAACCTAATATAAGGCGTATTTTGGCCAATTAGCCTTTAGAGTAGTTAGTTAGCTCTGAGTAATTATCGAGTCATTTGCCATTGACTTCGCTTACATATTTAACTGTAAAATCCAATTTGACCGATTGTGGGAACTCAACGGGAAAGGAATTGAATGCAATCAATTCTAACGCTTGCAACTTGCTTATCCACATTACGCTCTCTTCCATCAAATGCACTTATGGGCACTCTGTCTAAGCCATGGATAGAGACGTAATTCAAATTTTTGCCATTTTTGAGGATTTTAATCATTTAGGGCTTTTCCGAGATTTGCACAACGTTTTGACTCAAAATTATACGTCGCATATTTTGTGCATACCTCATGTACTCGATAAAACTAGCTTTTCTGCTGTTCTGCTGTTCGATTTTTGATTAGCTTTTTACATCCAGCTTCTTCTCGAAACTAGAATTACGTATCTACAACCTTAGCATAAGGATTCAGTCACTCTGTCCTTTTTACTTTTTTAGCTTATATCACTCCACTGGCGGTAAGAGCACTTCAAGGTGCAATGAAATGAACAAATATATAAATAATTGAATGAAAGCATTTTTTAATAAGTGGCGGTCCCAGGAATTCCGTCCTGGGGGGGGAGGGCAAAATTTTTTTTAAATGAAGTTACGTAGCGTTAGCCACGCAATCCAAAAATTTTTTTAGGATGCTTCTCAGACTCTTTGCGGGCCCATAACCCCAAAAATCTAGAAGAGGGGGGGGGAGTTGGGCAGCCATGTACCCTGAAAGAAATTGTTTCACGAAGCTAACTTCAATTTTTTAAAAAATTTTGAAAATTGTTTTGAGTATTTACAAGAATAAACAAGTCACTTGCACATTTTAATTGCACAGCGCATTTTGATAACCCATTAAGTAAATTCTGATGATTTTGCTACCCAGGCGCCCCCCCCCCCTTCTCTCGGTCCGCCAGTGTTATTTATATATAATAATATATTTATATATTCCAGAAAATCGTGGAAATTCAGGGATTTTTACTGCATAGAATTATTTTTCGGTTTCCTTTCACTCCTAAAAAAAGTGAAAGTCAGAAAACTTCAGACAATGAAATGAGTCTTTGAGCTTATATAGAGTAAGCTGTGTGTAAATCATCTCATAATGTCGTCTTCAGAAATACCCATGCAAATAAGCATAATTCTCTAGCTATATGAGCCATGTTCTGAATCTGTGAAGGCCTTTTGAACGTCTTTCTATGGGCTATTCCATGTGGCATTCGCATGGCAATGTGATTTATTGCTGAATGCACGTGAAAAGCTCTTTTGCTCGTCTTATGGTTAAACGAGACCATTTCTGAAGGTATGGGCTGCAGAATTTTGCTTGGAGTGTGGAAGAAATCTGCGTATTTTAAAAATCTCTCTTATAAGAAGAAAAATTGTTTACAGGTCCAGCAATCAACTGTTCATTCCTGCGCTAAAATGTTCGCACACAAGACTTCTATACTCTTCATTAACTTCTTTTTCCTGGCGAATGTTCTGGCGAAAAAAAATCATTTTTTTTTTCACCATTTTTCTCAAAGCCAATACAAGCGAATTAATGGGCGGTCAAATAAATTTGACAGTCTACACTATGACATAGTATCTGTTCAGTTTTAAACCTTTAAGATAAGAAATACAGGTCAAAATCTTAAGATACGTGCGTGTGTACATTTTGACATTTATTCAATTTTGCAAAAGTTGGAAATGGCCAGAAAAAGCAAAAAAAATATTGTTTTTTTTTCATAATTTCCTGCTGTTCTGTTCGCTTGAGACGAACAATGAACCATTCTTTCTGTTTCTATTCTCATTGTGAGAAAAATGATTTTCTTTACCCATCTAGTTAAATTTCAAAATTTCATATACATAGTAAACAAACATTTTTGATATTTGCTGGCTGTTTTGCTATATACATTCTTGGAAAATAAGAGTGCTCTCTGCAGAACCATCTAGTTTACACGAACGCCTGAACTGACTCAAACATTTCTAACCAAACACAGAGAAGCATGGAAAGAAAAACTTTGCCCCTAATTTTTGTCTCTGAAGCTTCGAGTTTCTGCGAATGCATAGCAATGCTATCAAATTACAATCAATCTAAATAATAGCACCCAAGGTCAAAGAACTAAGAAATCGTATTCGTTGCTTGGTGTATGCAAATAGATAGGTAGATGTTCAACCAATACAAGAGAATGCTTTATTTAAAAAGCAGATAATTTTCGCAAAAAAATTGTGCTCTTTTTTTCTAAAATTTCGCGCTGTACCAATGACCAAATCGTTTTTTGTGCACAAGAAATGAAATAAATACGACTTTTTTTGATTAATCAGGAATTACTTTTTGGGAGGATCTCCCTTGATTAAGGGGCAGGCAAAATTCACTTTAAAGAGTAAGATGTTTGTTGTTCTTGAAGCAGCACACTAGACGTATTCCGTCACCACCTAAGGGTCCAAAGTCTAATGAGATTCCCGTGATGCAGAAGAAGTACGCTCCTCCTGCAACTTCGACGAAAGCCTGGGTAGAAATGAGGGGACACCTGGGAGTCCCACAACACACTCCATCCACTGAAGATGCCAGACGGGGTAAATTATAGTGTGAGAGGCGGGGGTATTGATTTTTTATTAGAAGTGGAAAATGTAGAGGGTTGGCTGGCTGTGGGTGGGTGGCAGACGAAATCGATTGCGGAGAGAGAGGAGTGCATGGCTTGAGGGAGAGTGGGGAGCGGGCCACAGAGCGAGACTGAGAGGGCCCACGGATGGTGCCCTTCTAGGGCCCCCCCTACGAACCGATGTCCCTGTCAGCCAGTCCGGCCCCACCACTTGCGGGCATGGGCCCGTTGGTGGCCGGTGCAGGCCCACCTTCCGCGTCAGACTCTCTGCTCCTCCAACTACGCAACAAACCACATGCACGAGTATTTCGTGCTCTATTTCAATATCTACCTCTACGCGATTCGCCCAATGAGAATCCTCAACTCGAATTGGCCCTAGCACCCGGTGACGTACTGCTCGTCAAGGGCGAAATGGATTCGGACGGGTTCTACCGAGCCGAAACCCTCGACGGTCGCACCGGTCTCGTGCCGTCCAACTACGTTGAAAGGGTCCCCGATTCCGTATTGCTCTGCAATGCTAGGGCCCCATCACCGTCGTTTCCCCTTCACGTTCCCCAACATCACACGTCCATACAGCACGACTTTTCCGAACCCGATCACAGCCAGTTCCCTGATTCCGTTTGTCCCTATCCACCTGCAGACGTTTCTAAAGTCACTGTACAGGAGATTAAATCGAATGATAGCCCTAGGGGTTTGTTTTTAATTCTTCTATACTTTTTATTACCGTTGAAGTTTTTTTCCTGCCGTTTCCGGGTTATTCACATTGCTTATGGCTTTGAGTCAGTTATGCAATTTCATTCGAGCTTTTATTTGCGCCATTTGAATTTGATTATATTTCATAGCCAGTCTCTTAGGGTTTGCTTCAGAATCATAGAATACTTCAATACTTCATCAATATTTTCATGACCCGTGGAGGCTTTTAACGCTTCCGAAAAACCTTCTTTTCGATCAAAATATTCAGAAAAATGATTTGGGAGCTGCAGTGCGACCACTTGATCTCTAGTAGGTCCTGGAAGCTTCAAAAGTCGCAATTAAGCTTTTTTCTTGATTTTTGACGCATATGACTCAAATTTTCCTCTTTTCCCAATGGGAAGTTTCCTCCCAGCTCCCATAAATTTTTTTAGCTTCTCAGATTTACGCTTTTCCCTAGAAATCACCAAAAACCTGTATCATTGTCCTGGCGTGTCATGCACCAAATGCCGTGGCCGCCTACTCCTTGCCGGGCGATCGATGCCCCCATGGCCTCAAGGGGATAGCCTAACCTACTCAATAGCTTCACCCACACACAATGAACGACCCATATACGCAAAACAAATAGTAAATCATTAAGCTACAACTCATTTCCCCGTAGTTGGGAGGAAAATATGTGCGTGGGAGAATTTGTATGTGGAGTCGAGGGGTTGGATTGCGAAAATATTATGATTCATGTTTTTATGCTACAAAATTACGAATTTTTTCTTGACCTACTCTTCAGTGTATTGTTCGGCAGTAAACGCTCTGAGCGGCCTTGAACAAATTTTTTTTCTTTTTCAATCATTCACGAAAAATATGATAGTAGTGGTACTTGTTAACAGCTTTGCCTTTCTGGATCTTTGGATTTTTTAGACCCTTATATTGGCTTTAAAAATTACGACGATTGATTTATAGTGCTGAAGAAACAGAATTTAAAAAAACACTAAAATTCTCTTTATTCAACGGACTCTTATTATTAACAGATCCTAAAGAAGGATAGAATTTTTGGAAAATCAAAATTACTGTGCCGTGCTGGGAGATTTTGGTAATTTCTTTTTTGCTTTATTACTACCGCTAACTAGAAATAATTTTAAAACTTTTAATTTTCTTAATTTTCTTTTTTGCTTAAGAAGTTCTAGGGCTCCAGACATTGACTAACGGTGATCTTCTAACATTTATAATTGAGATTAAATTTTTAAACAGCTTGAAAGCCAAAAAATCCTCCTAAGATTGCCCAAATTTGGCTACATTCTAGAGCTCACCACATGCGTCACTGAGGGAGGAGTGTCACATTACATATGCTCATATTCTTTTCCATCTGACTTTTTTGAATTCATCGTGGCCGAAATGTAGTCTTTGAGACTCATTCTTGGTCAAATCTCAAATATGAAGCTTTAGATTGGCGAGGGTGTTGAGGAGGAAATAAAAAATAAAAAATTTCTAATGGCTAGCTATTTATGGTATTTTATTACCCGAACTCCAAAGCTTGCACTGATAATAATGTATGCATTTCTCAGTGGCGGTCCCAGGATTCCCCTTTCAGAGGGGGGGGGGACGTGATAAATATTTTTTGGATGAAGGCGCTTGGCGTTAGTCACTCACTCCGAAAATCTTTCGAGGTGCTTCCCAAATTTTTTGCGGGCTCATAGCTACGAGGTAGCCATGCCCCAATAATTTTTTTCCAAGCTAAATTGAATTTTTAGAAAAGAAAATTTAAAAAATATTTTATTAGTTTGGGAGTAAAAGTAGAAAAAATCATTTACACGTTTTTATAGCTCATGTAAGTAACCAACAATTTCGCGAACATTCTCGGAAAGCCCCTTCCCTCACAGTCCGCGATTGGCATTTATTTATATCAAAACTTGATTTTGGTACATTTTCAAAAAAGGAAATTCTGCCAAAAATTTTCAAAGCTCTAAAGCAGCGTTGACCGTACGGAGTTATAAATAATTAACACAATTATATTTATTATTTATTATTTACATATGCCAGAATTAACGGTGCACTAAAATACAAAAAAAAAGAAATGCCCAAAAACTCGCACTTCGCACTGCTTATTGGGAAATTACCTTATAAATATTTTATTGAGTATGGAACCCATAGCATATTCGTTTTTTGCAATGTTCTGCTTTTCTCTTTGATTACTGTACTTTGAGCCCAATTTCAAATTTTTCTTGACCAAATTTTGCTTTCTTTTTATCGCCTTATGTGGGAAAACCATTACGTCATAAAGGAATTATTTCGAACCGCAGACGTAGTAACACTTTTATTTTATTTGGCAGCAGACAATAAGCACTTGCAGACTCTCAGTGTTGACGTAACTGTTGACGCAAGACTTTCGTCATTTTTGATTACGAATATTTTTGAACTATAAATAAAATCTTTCTCAAATTGAGTGACTTTTACGTCAAAAATGCCACTAACATGTGCAATTTTCTATAATTTCCGTGTAAAAAGAGTTTTAGAGGGGAAGAATTCCACTCTACCAGAAAGAAAATTATTTCCAGTGCCCTGTCCTCGAGATCTAGTTGTCGAGAAGAAGATGTCTCGGTCGGTTGTGGTAGCCTGGTCACCACCAGAGGAGTCGTTCGTCGCTGTATCGCAATACCATGTTTGTGTAGATGGGCAAGTTCGAGCTGTCGTACCTGGTTCATACAAGGTATATTTTAGAACTTTATCATATTCATTGATTATTTAAGTGATTTCTCACAAAGATTTTTTTCCAAGTTCTGCTTGTTGTTCGTACGTTTTTATTCCTAAACAAATCCTTATCGTCTGTCTATTCTCAGACAATTCACCGGGCAAAATTTGCAGCGGTTCAGCAGGGTTTTGTTTACTATTGCAAAAGTGGAAACGTTGAAAATTGGAACTTCCGCAGGACTTTTTACAAAGCGCTGCGAAACTTCCGAAAAATGCCAGCGGTTCCTCAGCCTTTTGACATGCCAGTACTTCCGCAGGTTTTTGAATGTGTTGTTGTTGTCTCGCCAACAACTAAAGTTGTCTAAAATGTCATTTGTAGTGTAGAGGATAGTAAGTGATTCTCGTAGTCAGCAGAGTAAGGTTTTATCTCGCTTAGATGTTCTCTTTTGCTGTTGTGATTAGCATTCTTCGGAACTTCCGCAGCACGTTTACGGAACTTTCGCACGTGGCCCGGCGGAACTTTCTCAAACGTTCTGCGAAAGTTCCGGTCAGTTGTCTGAGTTATTATAATATGTTTGATATGAACAGGACAACCAATGTATTCTACTGTACGGAATATTACTTCTAAAAATCACATTTTCTAATTTGTTTCAACTTTTCTAGTAGAGCCAGAGCCATTTATCTCCTACCTTGAACACTTTAGAAGTTATTTTGTCAATTTTAATAAAATAGGAGGTTAATTTTTTTAGGTAATAGAAAACAAACTAAGTTTTTAGAAAATTTGAAAAAGGGCAAATTCATTACGATATTCTATACTTACGGTACCTTCTGAATAGTGCACTTAGTTTGTTTTCTATTACCTTACCATCGTCACTTGATGAGTCAAAATCCAAAGATTTGACTACGACCATATTTTGAAAAATTCCCAAAACTCTAATTTTCGTGTACTTGTAATGTTTGAAAGCAATCAATTCAAAACTGCATTTTGCTCCTTTTTCTTAAGTTTTTTTCCTATTTCCAACAGTTGTTTTTTCTAACTTTTAACCACAGACAATACAATTGGTTATGAATTGCGAAATCCACAAGTGGCAAATAAGATCTCCACATCGTCTTCATAGCTGCATGTATGATAATTTTTTTTGGAATTCCTTCGGACTTGATTTTGCACTTTTTTATAATTCGAATTTTTTGCAGTTTTTTTTTGAAGATGTCATTATGCTTAGTTAAGACTATTGTTTGTTAGAAGCTCTTCTGGCATTCTTCTAAGCGCCCATCCTGCTTTCTGTCCTTCAATAAATATGTACAAGTAGCATGTATCAAGTTTTAAGGCTTAGCTATTTAGTGCCGTGCTTTGGTGGAAGACGTTGCGCTGGACGGTTCGGTAAATCTTTCCGTTCGAGCGTTGTCCGAACAAGGCCATAGTCCAGACGCGGCGTGTACCGTAACCCTCGGAAACGGTAAGTCAAGCTTTTTTCGAGTTTTGGACGCTTTTGCGGATCACAGTAAGCGCTGCGGAAGGGGGGGGGGGGGCAAGTGCGCGACTGCGGTGGCCATCTGTTTGGGCAAACGGCGTTGCCGTGCACGTCTCTTCGTATCCACTTCGCTCGTGTCTAATTTCCCTAATAGGCCCGACTCGATGTGCTGCTTCACTCGACTTATTCATGCATCCACTCAGTGCCACAGAGTGTACACTTTAGGCTTGTGCATACACACACAACACACAATACTCACGGCTGAGGAAACAGCTGAAGCCGAAGCAGCTGAAGTGGACGTAGGTGGCCATGGCGTGAAATTCGCGGGCTTTTTCATGAGATGGATAACTCGTCCGAGGTGCTTCTGGTGCAGAGGCTGAGCTCGGGGCATTCCGCTCGTGCTTCTCCCTTGCTTCCTACTTCCTCCCTTTGCTCTCGCGCTCTTCTCATTTAAGAGCTTGTGGGGGGAGATATACGAGGCAGGAGCAATCTATCTACGAAAGCACACACAAGCACACATGCAGCTGTAGGTTCCTGTGCTCTCCCTCTATTGATTCCCTTTTTTGTCAGAGGGCTAGGGGACTTACCTATCGGCCCTCCCCGACGGCGCGCATCTGATGTGCTGCCATCCGGAAGACAAGAGTACTCTCTGGCAACACAAGGGGACTAGTCCAGCCAGTCAGCCAGCCAGTCACTCTCGCCATGCGCCGACAATGAAGTTACGAGAGTACGAACAAATGACTTGCGGTTATTTTTGTCTGTCTTTGGAAGAAAAATTTGCAAGGGCAAAGAGGAAGTTTACGAAGTGCAGAGAACACACAGGATCTGAAATTACTACTTACCTTACTGATTATAAAGGTGGGGATTAGCACATTAAACCTCGTAATTAAAGGAGGGGGAAAAAGGTAGTAATCTGATTAGCTAAAATGACATCAAGCTCTAAATATGTGCTCTGTGATGTTTCCGAAGTCAGACACTTCACAGCAACCGTCCCGAATTAATAACGAACCGGATATGTGACGTCCTTGGTGGTCCCGGATCATCACTTTTTCTCACAAAAACTTCCTCGAGCACATCAACATTGCTATCGTAATAAGGTCTGGCATGAGTCCCTTTCTAGGCTTTTAAAAACGAAATCTCCCTTACTTTCACGTAATTTTACGAAGTCCCCTTTGACCCTCGGAAACGTCTACAAAAAAAGACCTAACCTAACTTGTGTTTTTTCGGACCAAAAAAAGACATCCCCTCTGCTTTTTCGCCCCGAAAACGAAGTCTAGCCTGCTTCCAGACGATCTGTGCCGTGCCCTGCCTGAAGTGAAAAGTGATAAAATGGATTCTATGAAATTAGGGGCCAAAAGTTTAAATCATAAGATTCTCCGTCTTGAATTTTGCCATCCAAATAGTGTACCGCGTGCATATGCTCCTATTAGTAGTTCAATAAATGCAAATTGCGTGAAATGTAGTGTAAAAAAAAACAAAGGAAAAATGAAAGTTGGCAAACTCCTCCCCATGGGTTATAAGCTCCGCCCACAAATACTAGTGCGCTGAATTTGTGTGAGTCGCATTACTATCCAAATGATATTAATTTTGATTCAAGTCTGAGAATGCTGTCTTCAATCTTATATTGTGATAGGAGAGTATGTGTTTATCACTAACATAATCTTGGTAAATTGGAAGTTTTGTAAATATATTTTACTTTAACCTACTAATTAGAGCTTATTTCGATTTTATTGATGGCTACGGAATATTGACGTTACTCAGGAAATACTGGAAAAGCAGAAACATTTGATGTTCTTGTGTATTAACATGTATATGCAATCGTAGGCGGAGCTTATATCCGATGGGGGCGGGGTTTGCCATACTTCTGACACCAATTCCTACAGATTTTGAAATTTTTTGTTTTGAAGTTGTATTCGCGTGCGAATATTACAAGAATTATTATTCAGGATACTGAAGAAACATTTAATCCTTGTGTGTGAGTATCTACGTGCAATTGCGGGCGAAACTTATACGGGGGCGGAGTTTACCACATCTCTGTTAACATTTTTCAATTTTGAAGTTTCTTTCATTGGTTTCTAAGATTGTAATCATGTGCGAATCTTCCAAGAAAGTTCGGTAGTATAGAGCTTTGCAATTGCAGAGCGTGTGCCCCAGGCGCGTAATTGAGAACGATTTATGAGTAGTCGGTAAAAACGCGCAGCATTGCTCATTGCCCTTATCGGAGATGTGTTCGCCGGCCGGCTGCTAAAAGTTCGCGGCATGCACTCGCTCGCGCGCGGCGCGGGTGCAAGAAATGCGCAAAAAATCGACAAAAGAAGATGAAGTGGTTAGGCTTTGCAACTGAGCTGCGGAAAAGAGATTCTGATGTCGTTTTGCAGAAGCGGCCGTCGCCCCGCAGCATCTTCGTGTGTGGGCCGTCACCCCGGTATCGGCATGCGTTCGATGGTACCCGTCAAACAGCAATGCGGACCACGTCGTTTCGCTGAATGCCGTCAAGGTTGGAGTCTGCCCGCCGACCGTGTTCCAGGTGAGTGCCGCCGCCGTGCCGTCGTTATACTTCGTCCGCCGCGGACGACAACGACGACAGGTCAAGTAATTATTCCGCTTCTCTGAATCCCCTTCTGTCTATGGGGGCCTCGGCTCCGTTGTCTCTCTTTCCGTGCTTCCCCCCTTCGCTCTGCTCGCTCTCTCTCTATTGATATCCGATATACGACGCTTCGCGCTTTTGCATTCCTTACTAAATTAAAACGGCAAGTCGCCGCGCAGCGACTTCGCCGCCCCGCCACCGCCGCCGCCGCGAGATGGATCTACTCTCCTCGTTTTTGACATACAGTTCATTTGAGCCTCAAATCCCTCGGCGAATCCAATCAAAGAAGCGACGAGAGGCCACCCAACATGGGGGAACAACGCAAAAGGGGGATTGCTTATTTTGTCTTTATGCATGTGGAATGGAAAATCTTGCAATTTTCCAAATTTATTGTGATACATCTATATCGATCTTTCAGTTCCTCATCCTTCTTATTATTTCTTAATATTTTTTTTTGCAATTTTCACAGTCAGTAAAACTTCCACTCCTCTATATTTCTAGTTTTGCTTCACTTCTAACCCTTCTATTCGAAATTCATTTATTTTTCATGACCACTTGCTGTATCTTCTGACTTTGAAAATTATTATTTATTATTATTGAAAAGTCATTTATATTCCTGAAAACTCAATGAAAATGCTCTAAAATTGTACTGGGATCTACTACAGCACTGCTAAACATGCCTATGGTAGAATTGAGTGAAATCTCAAAGAATTAAAATTTTCGATGAACTGCTGCTCGCGAGTCAGGGATTATCAAAAAAATCAAGATCTTCGGATTCCATTTCTTCTGTCGAAAATATGCTCAGCAGTATCGTAGTATATCTGCAGTGCAATTCTGCAACGTTTTCATTGATTTTTAAGGAAGATAAATGACTTTGAAAATGTGAGATGATCCCCTGGAGATCTCCAGGGATCAGACGAAATAGTGAATATCCAATCTTGTATGGCAGTAACCTGACATCCATTATGCGCAAGTATCAGTGTATGAGAACCTTCAAAAGCAGGACAGAGAAGGAAGAAGAAAGATATATAGACTAGCGAGATATGGCGCTTCCCCTCTCAGATCCCCTCCCCTTCCCGCGGGGATGTACGTGCATACGGGCCTAAGAGCGATCCCTAATCTATTGCGGTACCTATACTTTTGAAAATACATTTCAAACACTTCTGAAAATTGCCAGACGAGTCAAACAGCACTTTATGCTCAATTTGGCAAAGCTTACATAGAAAAGCAGACAGCCGGCCAAGCTGCCCTTAAAGATCTCGAGCAAAAAACAAATTTCCAACTAGTGACTTGGAAAGAAAAGAAAGCCACATTATTTCAGAAAGTAGTAGAGAAGAATACTTTATTTCGTCCTATGTCTATTCTTACAATTAGTCAAATTATTCCAATCATTTTTTTTGCTTGCAATTAGACCTATCATTTTTTTCATGACGTTTAGTAGGGGCTTTCAAACACTAAGAAATTATGTTATAGAAATGTAATTGAAAGGGGGATATGGAAGTGATACCACTAATTGTGAAAAATTGATAATAAGTATAATATAATGGAATTGGAATGATTTCATTACATCATCGTCGATGTGATCGATCATTTTATATTTATTTATTTATGTGTTCTTTTATTTATTTATTTATTTAATATCATAGCCTAAGCCCGAAAAATGAAATCATATCTCAAAACATTTATTAAATCTTGCAGTGACCAGTCTGTATCTGCCTACAAAATAGCTTGTGACTGTGTCCTGAGTCTGCCTTTGTTATGAAGGGTAACATTCAAAAAAGATGATTTTACAAAAAATGATTAGTATTTCCACCGTCTAATTTATCATGAGTCAAATCATTTTTGTGCCGTAAGTCCTTTCTTCAATTGGAAAAGCACTTTCAAAAATTTTCACCAAATCTTGCCAAGAGACTCTTTGGAAATCGCAAATGTCAAAGCTTTGATTAGAAACGCATTTTATGAAATCCTCTTAGATCCTTCTGAATTTTTTGGTTGGTCCGGAATCCGCAGCATCATCTGCCAAATAGGCTCGAGTTTCATTGCATTGATTCCGCTTCTGCCAAACTTCTCTCCCATCAAGTATGCATATCTATTTGAACGTTAAATTCAATCAAGAAGAGTATTTGCTAGTGAAATAACCTTCACTTGCGCATCCAATTCACCTAATTAGAAGCAGCACCCTTTGATTCAACTGGCTTGACGGCTGGAAGGCGGTGCTTCGTGACCTAAATACTAGGTAATGGTCAAAGAGCATGCGCGAGGGAGATAGGCAGACTGCGTCGCAGACGCGAGAGCGGCCTTATTTGGGCGATAAAGCCCTGCCTTATAGCCGCCAAGCCATTGAATAAGGTTATAAATAAAATCGCCACCTTCTCGTAGTAACTCTGCGAAAAAAAATTCAAGCCAAAAGAGCGAAACTTTGGAAGCTGACTCCGGAATGCTAGAAATGTCTTTGCAATCAGACGTTAGTCCTCTCTACAGCTTCTGACACCAGTCTCCTTAGGCCCCGGACAGACTTCACGCGATTTGGTCGTCGCGACTGAATCGCGACGAGACAACTGTTACAACATCATTCCATGCCGATCAACTTGCATTTCGGTTGTGATACTTTTCCAGCCCGAAATTTTTGAATATGAAATGAAAATGAATGGAAATGTCGGCGATTGAGTCGCGACGATCAAATCGCGTGAAGTCTGTCCGGGGCCTTAGGCGGTTTCTGGAACTTTAGAAAAAGAGAATTTTCTATGAAGTTCTGTTTTTTCCGACAGCATTTTTGTTCTCTTGCCTTCATGGGTTTAAAAGGTTGGTTTGTTAAACATCATGGTCTGCACAGATGCTATTTATTGGTAACACTTTTATTTTCCGAATTTCTAAAACCTTATTCAAAATGAAAAAAATCATGCTATCCCTTTCCTATAGCCTTGTCAATGCTCGCAATCAGATTAGCAAATTCCATTTCAAACATATTTGAATGGGTCAACAAAAACACATCTCTTGAGTCCACATTCAAATTGAGATTATTTTTACGGATAACAATAATTGCATTCAGGCTAATGCTATATTTTCTCTTATATTCAACTCAACTTCGTTTTGATTTCCCTGCTCCTCTATTCCAATTCTTCCTCTGCTCTGTTCAAAATGAGTTTCGTAACATCGAAAAAGTCACGTGTCTCTACAGTATGTAATGCTTTTCCTTGCTTGGTAAACATGCAAAAATCGCCTTTGCCGGCAAAAGTCATTTTTCAGTTGGTGCAAGTGTCCGTGAGTCAACGCTGGCTTTTTCCATTCGCCATTAATTTTTAGTGCTATGCCTGGCACAAGTTGCAACCGAACGGCTTCGGCGCAGAATGACAACTCATAGCCACTTTCTCCATATTTAGAACTGCAACACTTTCCTTGACTCTAGCCATATTCTTAGATAATCACCTTCTCGTTTTCTGATTGGCCGCGCAGAGCAGTACGGTAGCATTACGGTAGCAACATAGTCACCCTTTAATTCAATTGGCTTGGCGGCTGGGAGCGGGGACTTCATGACCTAATTAAGGCTAGATAATGACCAGAGAGCACTCGCGCAAGAGAGACGCAGTCACGAGCGGCCTAAAGTAGGTCACAGAGCCCCGCCTTCCAACCGCCAAGCCAGTTGAATCAAAAGTTAATCAACAGTAGCCTCCTAATGAGGTGGGCACTTATTAATAGAACATCTGATTCACAATTAGTATCATATATAAATTTTCCAGTTCTTAAATATTTTTATACTTTGATTTCTTCAACTAAAAAGTCTTAAAATCCAAAGAAATGAATGTGTTGCTCTTTTTACATTTTTTTTCCTTCGAAGCTTGGTGAAACCTAGTGGGATAATTGGGCCCTGTTTTTCCCGCTTACGTTCTAGCTGGACTTATTTACTTACTCTACATATTTACTTAATTTACTTTATTTTCTTTACTTTATTTACTTAAGCTACTTCCACATTGAAACCTATTCCGATTTGATGAAATATGAACTGACCGTACAATGAATTTTGATATCGGACATTTTCTGCCACCTAACTCTCAAGTCGCAAAAATCTAAGAGTTTGTTTTGGCATCCTACAAAATCTAATGAATACTAGTAATTTCAGAATTAGCTGAGGATCTCGGAATTCTATCAGACCCTTTTATACTCTAAGAAACTTTATATGCTCTATATGACAGAAAAAAGTATAAATTCTGCTATGTTATCGAACAGAGGCTTTTTCTGCACTGATTCTTTGAACATTTCATATGTGGGCCTTCTTTATCACAAACTAGCAATGCATAAACATCTTGGTCATCTTACACTAATATATGAAGCATTAACAGCCTAACTATTAATGATGTCGTTTCAAAACTCATCCGCTGATTATCATGTTATAGCTTTTGTACAAAAAGAAACTGCACAATCCGCTCATTTATTTATCAAATACCAAAAAATTGTGATTGAGTTTAAATAAGACATTTGATGTAGACATATGTGGCATTTAGACGTTAACGGCTATCAAAAATCGTATTATAAAGAAGAAGCTGAAAAATTCTGATCGTTCTTCAAAGGAGAGACCTAAATAAGAATGGAATTTATGGATAAGTTAACTTTTGCAAAATATTGAGTTGGCTTATAAATAAGTTTGCTTTGACATAAGCAAATTATTTGTTTTGTTTACTATGCAGATTTGAGGATACAAAAATTCAGGTACTTGTTGTTCAACTGAGCTTTTTTATAAGGAAATAGTTTCAGTCTTTTGCTAACAAAATTTTTTACTCAGAAATTTCTATTAACAGTGAACAAATTACGTTCTCAAATGGCTAGCTATTTCTTCGTTATTCACTCTTTTCAACAGTGCCAAATAAGTATAGACATATGGTTATCTGTCACATTTTTACATACTGTTGAAAACAACCGAATTTATTTTTTTAGCGAACTTAGCA